TCTTCAAATTATTCTTAGTTTAATACTAAGACAACTGGATAATAAGAGACAAATATTCCTTGCTGTTGCTTTACTTTGCAGCCTTTGGGACATCCCTGGGAAGACCAGTTATCTTAAGGTCACATGAGAAATTCTTAAAACCAAATGAATGTTGAATCATTTCAATCTTTAAGACAGGAACATGACATATGATATGTCTCATACTCCCATTTAGTCCATGACCTGTCCGTGCCAAGGGGTGAAATTTGTCATTCAGGATGAGAAAGCCTACAGAGGTGGCACAAGGAAATGACACTTACTGAGTCCCCACCACATGCCGGGTAATGTGCGAGTCACATTCACACACATGGTCTCCTCTAACCTCCCCAGGACACTGTGGGGTGGGCACTGGTTCCCTCTGATAGATGAAGAGACCAAGGGTCAGGGAGGTGAAATGACTGGCCCAAGTTGATGTGACCTTTTGATGCCTAACTCATCCTGCTCGATTCTTATTCAGGGTCCCCTTGAATGAGAAGAACATGCTGGCCTCCCTTGCTAAGGTCAGAGAGAGGCCGTAGGAGAGGTGGGAACATAAGATAGTAAGTAAAGGTCAGAGATGAATTGTAAGCGCCACTGCAGGCTGTACGAGAAAACTGGGCTTTGGGGAGGTCGCCCAGCGCTTCACAGCCACGTTCTCACTCCCACGCAGGCTTGTTTCCTATCTCTCCTCGAAGACCAGCCCAGGGGGTCTACCCAAGGAGGCCTTCACTATGTTGGCTGAACTTTTTGTTGACCTAAAATGGGAATCAGCTGTTGCAGGAACAACACTAGTCTAAGGTGCTGGCCTTGGCAGACACACAGGCAGCTTTGTTTTCCTCAGGATCGTCGTGGGGAGAGGAGAGCAAACTGCTCTCAGCCACATGCTGTTGGCTCACCCGGAATCTCCTTGTCCCGTTGGTGTTTACACCCAGCGGTGCCTACGCAGTGCCTAGTACATGGTAGGTGCTCAGTAAGTGCTTGTTGAGTGAGTAAATTTGACATCTGTCATCATAGTGACTATTCACACGATACCATCTAGGCAAAGAGTCCACCCTTGGGTCCTTAATGAAAGGTTGGTTTCATTTCTGGTTCCCTTTAAGGGGCTTGTGACGCCGTTTTCCCAGGCCTGAACATGACAAAGCAGAATCCGAGTGGCTAAGGCGTTAAGTACCTGCTCACGCAGTTTCAGGAGTCAGTGTTAATCATCTATTTATAATTTGCAGGGTTTTCATTTCTCCCTGGAAGCACGAAGGAGGAAGACAAATGAATTTGCAAAATAAATCAATAAAATAAAAATAGCTCCACATAGAGGACTTTCTCAGGATGTCACTAAATTTGTCCTCGATAAAGTTCTTGGTTGAGAGGATGGAAGAGCAATGTCTAAATATACCAACGGAGAACTATGGAAATAGAGGATATAACAGAAGAGTTCAGTAAAAACAAACGGTTTTGTAAGCCACCCTGGAACACGCTTTTGTTCCAAGTAGGTAGAATTTTATTCTCTCTGTAAATATAAATTAGGGAGTAATTTTAGTATCTGGGAGGGAAATGAGAAAAGAGGAGGATGTGATTATTCCTATCTTATTTTGGCAGAGTTGTGCAGGGTAACCAACTGAGAAGAACTTCCAAGAGGCCTGGTCTGGTGTGAGAGCTGTGGGAAATCTTGCTATTGGGAACGCTAGTCAGGCAATTCACAACTTCACGCTTTTGGCTTGCACGCTCCTATTGATTCTGTAAGAGCCAGTTTAAATATCTCCTCCCCTTGGAAGCTCTCCCTGATTTTCTCCCTATCTCATTTTCATTTTTGCAGCAACATAGTACCTTATGTACACATTCTTTATAGTGTTTATAGTTATTTTTTAACACAATCAACACTATGCTCTCCCTTTAAAGGCAGAGCTGTGTTTTACTCTTTGTATATCCAGGACCTAGCAGAGTGCCTCACACTTAGTAGGCTCTCAATAAACCCTGTGGGATGAATGGAAGATGCTGTGAACCCTTACGTCATTCTCTCTTCAGTGCCTTTCCAGACCAGCTCCATGAGATGTCCTGGGGACTGAAGAACCGAAGCCTTTGAAGACCAAGACCAGGAACTACGCAGGGACAGCACCGTGAGAACAGGACACCTTCCATCAGCTCCTCCAGTCTGAGGAAGCGGGTGATTCCTTCACGTAACCTGAACTGCACTTAACAGTGTGGAACCTTGCACAAGTCACTTCAATTCTCCACACCTCAGTTTTCTCATCTGCAAAGTGGGAGTCATAACAGAACTTACACTATAAGGTAACTGTGAGAATTAATTGAGTTCATTCTCATGAACACTCAGCATAGTGCCTAAGCACTTAGCACTCAATAAATATTAGGTATTATTGTTATTAGCTGCTCTGAAACCAAGATCCATGTAAAACACCAATTATAGTATTTTTAACATCGATTTTATTGTGCTTTTTGTCATGTTTCCTTTTACCTTTCATATTTTTAAAAAATCTCCATAATGGAACACCATGGCAGAGTTCAAATGCCTCCTATTCCAGGCAGCCTTCCCTGCCTGCCACTCACGCCATAGAATTCACCTTTTTTTTGCTACTGTATTACTGTGCTGTAACAGCACTTATTGAATGATACCTATTGTGACATTGCACTCCAAATCCAGTCTGTGAGTGGGACGGCTCAGATAATATTCTCTGCGGGCAGCCGTTCCCCTACTTTGACTCCTCCTCTGATTCCGAAACAGGTCTTGATGTTTAGTACAAAGGCTGGGTGTGGCAGAGAAGCCCGAACCAGGAAACCCAGGTTCCCTCCAGATGAGTTACTAGACTCTTCTGTCCCTGTAAATGGGGACGATGGTACCTGCTTCGCTAATCCAGAGTGACTGAGAAATGTAAATAAGAGAGACGACATCCTCGCCAATACTGTGAAGCGGGGACCCAAGTCAGCAGGCTGCCTTTTCCAAGTGCCACATGGCCCCTGTCCTACAGATTTCTCTTGCTCCACTTTGGCTGTTGGGGATCTTTGGATTTTGATTGTCTTCACCTGGGAGCGTTCACTAGGCCACAATGAGCCCAGTGGCTTAAGTTTGCTGGGAGACATTTCCAAAGCTTCCGTCAAGGCCTGAGGAGCCTGTGGCTTCTTCCCTTCGTGTCTAACCTTGTTCTCTTTGTCTGAAATGCTTTCTCGCTTTCAAAATGTCAAGAAAGCAAAAAGCTGCTGTCTCGGTATTGCAGAACGAGGGTCCCTGGACCAGTGTTTTATGTGAGAGGACAGTCCCACGGGGCAGATGGAGAAGGAGGTGTGTGTGAAGCGGCAAAGGTTTGTTATTTTATTTTTTTACTTCTTCGACCTATTTGCATGTTAACAGAGAGCCTTTTCTCCTTGCCCCTACAGGCTCAAATACAGGACTGCTTATTGATTTTTATTAACTCAAAATTCCTCCAAATTTCACAGCTTCTAAAGTGCAAAAGTAAGATAGGTCACTGAGAAATGAGATAGTTATATAGAAAAATACGATTATTTAAATTGTATTTTTATATCTACATTCTCAGTTTATTATTCTCCTAACATTCCCCCCTTCGCGCACTCAATCCACTGAGCTACACCAGCCAGGGCTCTCCTGAACATTTTTATTTGCAAGTAAAATACCATGTGAATCCATTTCATAACTTGCTATCATAGCTACCAAGTAAAGCATCAGAGAAATTGAAAGTAGTAAATGGTGTAATAATTCTCCAACTCTGATAAAAGTTTAGTGACACTAAATGAAGCCTGTGGAACCTCCTCATAGCTTGTAGCCGTTGTACTTTATAAACAACTAGCAGAAAGAACTAAACAATGTCTACTAAACCAGAATAGATAACTGACTTATTTTAATTTAAGGAAATGGAAAATATTATGTAAGTATGTTAAAACTAAGTGAGATATTTAAGATAGCCCCACCAGGAAGATTTTAAATCTATGGGAGATTAGGTAGTATCTGGACATTCATTAAAAAACTAGAAATTGCTGCTCTGGCCAGGCGGCTCAGGTGGTTGAAACATTGTCCCGTGCAGGTTTGATTCCCCGCCAGGGTGAGTACCAGAGGCAGCCAACGGCTGATGTTTCTTTCTCACATCAACGTCCCTCTCTCTGTCTCTGTCTCTGTCTCCTTTCCCCTCTCTCTAAAATCAGTAAACATATCCTTGGATGAGGATTAAAAAGAAAATAAAACAAAAAAGCAAGTAATTGCTACCAACAACAAAAATGAGAATAAGCAATTAAAGCAACCTTCTCTCCTCCTATCAAGGCAGTGTCAATATTTCGTCCTTTCACATCACCTACGCAAAACTGAGTTTCGAAAGGTAATGGTTTCCTGACAACTCTGGACCAAGCTCCTCTGAACAGACGCTTCTGTTTTAGTAGTCCAGCTCAAAGCAATCATCTAAGCAGAGAGCTAATGACCATTCAAAACGCGCTTTTTGTTATATCAGAAAAACTTATATTCATTATCTTGTTTGGGTTTCGCTTTGCTCGGAAGTTGACAATGGATGGCCTGCTCTCCTATTCTCTCTTCCTAGGGAGCAACACAGCAGGTTGGGGGAGAGTTTCCCCATGGAGGACCCGCGGAGTGCGGGAGAATTCAACGTCGCTGATTTTCTCATCCAGCTGCAGCACCTTCGATGGGGCAGAGTTGCACCCTGGAGCCTTCACCCCTTTCCTCCAAGCAGCCCAGAGACCAGCCAGCGCCCAGGCCTCCCTGCACACCACCCCCCACCCGCTGCGGGCACACGGCCCTGCAGGAGCGAGGACAGAGGGAGTCTCCCTGTCAGGGTCCAGGCCTGCTCTCTGGTTCTCGCCAAGGAAAACAAAAAACTAGCAGACGCAGCCACTCCCAGATAGCTCTCCAAGGAACCTGGAATGCTCTTTAAAATAATTACTTAAGTGGGAGCCTTTCTAAATGGAACGGAAGTGGTTAGTTCGGCAGACACGATCCTGGGACTGACATTTACCTGTTTGAGCCACACATTTGTTGTCATCAGCTGGTTCTTTTCATCCTAAGAAAGTGACAATTAAAAAGATGCAAGTTCAGTTTAGGTGAAGTTCATCTTGGGTTTTCTGGGGGTCAGAAAGAGCTCTGAGTCTTACCTTTGAGGAGATCAAAGTGTAAAGCATTCTCAACTTAAGAACAGGTAGGTGGCACAGGATCTTAAAATGTTATGGATATTTTGCTTAAAATGAAGAATAATCATCAAAGCATGTAGCAGTTAATTGTGGTGATATTTAGATGTAATTGCATAACCCAGGAAGCACTTTCAGGGTGCCAAGTAGAATTAAATATTAGCTAAATTGGAGATGGGCTTTGCATGATTTTCTGGGAGGAGCCTAGGGGCACCGTGTCAGCTGAGGTGCATGAGTGTGTGCACATGGGTGGCGAGGCGGGGGATTTGGGTAACCCAGGAGGATTATTCTGGGACTGTGGAGACCACAGCAAGATGATTTTGCAGGACGTAGGCTGCTTGCAGTTCACTGATTTTCCAGGAACGAAATCACAGCTTAACAAGTTTAGCAAGAAAATCAGCGGAGAGTGTCGAAGCGTGGGCGAGGTCAGGGACAGGCATGCGGGCCTAAGGCGCCCCCGGAGGACCATGCGGTTGCCGGCGCAGTCGCTCCAGCTCTCTGCCCTCTCCCCACGCAGAGGCCCCTGCCAGCCCTCCGCAGCTGGGAGGACACCGGACCAGCCCCGGGCTCAGTTCTCCCTCCTCTCCCGCCCCTGCTGTTCACCCTGGGAGCTCTCGCTGGGTACAGCAAACCGCCAGTGGCAACGCCCGCCCTAGCAACCAATACCCACCCCCCAGCAGAAATGTCCCACACTTAGTGTAGCCTGTGACACCTCTCGTTCATTCCTCGGGTCATGTCACTGGATTCTCGGGGCAGATTTTCTCTCACAATAAGTTATATTTGAAGTCGAAATGTCAGACATGGGAAAAGAAAACAGCACAAAATCTCAGACTCACAAACAGGTTAAGGAATGCATGTTCTTTTTGGGTTAGTGCCAAGAATTACTCACCACATCTACGAGCTGAGATATTTTCAATCCAAAGTATACTTTTATGGTGTCATTAGAGTTTAATACAGGGCGGACCCATTTCTCATAACCGTGGAATAAATGTCTGAGGAGCGCGTCTTCGTTTTCGGCGATTGAACTGGATTCTGCAGGGGCTGCAAGAATCGTGCGGGACCCAGAATTAATGGGAGACGCACAGCGACCGCTTTCGCATCCAGTGGCCTGAACCATCCTATATTTCTCCACAGCCAAATTCAGCAAAGACAGTTTTGAGGGTGGCAGGGTTCTTTTTAACCGTTCTCCAAGCCCACGGCACACCGCCAGAAATAGTCTGTCCGCGTTTACCCAGAACTTCACTCTCACAGGGTCTTCACATCACGAGGTCAACACCTTGACCCCAAATGATCATCTACAGTCGCCCCCATTCTCTCTACCTCCCGTCTCACCCCCTCGCACACACGGCTCTCTCCACGTGCCATTCACCGCCGCTGCGCCCTGCTTGGCTCCTTCGTGTCTCTTGTCCCACTTTGTTGTGTGCACGGACCGTGGGGCCAAAGTAGGTTTGCAGCTGTGAGAACACAAAATGCAGAGTTTATCCTCGTACTATTATTTGTTCCTTGGTGCGTTATTTTTCCATATGGACAACTGCAAGCCCGCTTTGCCCCACCCTGTATTTGTCATTGTCTGTCCTTGAACTCCCTGAAGGCAGGTACAAACCCGTGTCCTTTGATGATTTTTTTCCAGCACCTAGAACAGTGCCTGGCCCACAGCACGTGCTCATTTTATATTTATGTAACGAACGAGCCACGGCAGGGTCCATTTCCAGCCGTTCAGCACATATCTGATGAACACCTGCCCTGGGTCCTGCGCTGTTCTCTTGCCTTCCTCCAGAGGGCGTCTTCCCTCAGGGAGACCTTTGGGGGTCCACAACCAGGCTCAACGCTCTTCTCTGCTCTTAAATGTCTGAGAGCCTAAGAAACACCCTAATTTCAAGCTTTAACCCTCCAGTTGAAGAAACGGTTCAGGAAGGCAGTCTAGAGATACACTTTGTTTCTTTTCAGTGCTTTGCTATCAAATTTAAAACACAGAAACTCTTTGTTGTTGTTTTACATACAGGCCCTCTCTTCATATAGCCAGTGTCCCATTGATATCCCAGAGCAATTCACTCTGCACGGTGTGATTCACCATAGAAAACCCCCCTTTCCCTGAACTGAGAGACACGTGATGAACAATGTCACGTGTCGCGTAAGACACCCCCAACTTTACCAGATCAAAACCCTAAAATTCTGAGTAGGAAGAAAAGCACAACAGCACACACGCTCCCCGTGTGTGCACGAGCCCACCCGTCGTTTTACCAAGGGAGTAGCCATTCCGGACGAACACGCAGTGTTCCTCGGAGTGAACAGGGGGACGTGGAGGAGTGAGCCTTTGCTCTCTACCTCCACGGTTTTCTCTTTCCCCTAGAAAGGGCATTAAAATGCAAATGAGTGACAGAGATGCAGCCATGCATTTGTGCTTATTTGTTTAAAAAGCTAATCATTCTCCAGCTTTGATGCTTCAACACTCTTCAGCAAGCAGGGCTGCATTAAGGAGCAGGTCAGCTGGGCAGCTGCCAGGGCAGCCCTCGGTAATGGCTCTGGAACCTTACCAGAAATGGCAGGGCAGAGGAGGGAGGGCAGAGGAGGGCGGAGGAGGTCACCGGTTCAGGCCGAACTTTAAGAGTTTCCCTACCCCTCACGCCACCCTAACTTCCTTCAGAATACACTGCAGCCATGACTGCTTCTCTCCGTCTCCACCGGGGCCACCCTGATCACAAGCTCCATCGTCTCACTCTTGGACTCCTGTTCTGCTCCCCAACCTCTCCCACTCTTGCTCCTTGCACAGCCCATTTCCTGTCCAGCACCCAGAGCCATTTATTGTGGCATCTGGTGCAGTCCCAGCTCCCAGGAGTGCCAGAACACTGACCTTCCCTGAGAGCTCTAGTGTCCCAGTTCAGCCCGGGGAGTCCAAATTACATAAGTCCCTCTCTCACAACAGATGGAGATGCTGCAGGGGGGCTGAGACTCTGAATCGTGCCTGAACAAGACACACACCCCCCCTGAGCCTTTATAATTTGGGACACGTGAGAGGGATGCTGGAAGAGCAGAGATAGTACCTTGGGACTCCCTTTCCTGGCAGGAAAACATTACTGTCACTCTGAAGGGAGGTGGAATCGCATGTTGTAGGGGGCACTTCTAAAATGAGGACCTTGACATCCCCGGGGTTGCCACTCCCCCAGCCATCCCACCTGTGAAGATAGTTGGATCTAAAGGGAAATAAACAGAGCTGCTCTTTCAGGGACCTGTGTACGTTTTGATCCATGTTGCCAATGTCAGAAGGTGAGCTTCTGTCTGCATCAAGGGAGAAAAAGCCTAGCTCTGTACTGGCGGTTATGGGCTGGATGTTTGTGTCCCTTCAAGTTCATATGTTGAAGACCTGACCTCTATCATGACTGTATTTGGAGATAGGACCCATAAAGAGGTCACTAAGGCTAAGTGGGGCCATCACGGTGGGGCCCTAGTCAAAGAGAATTGGTGTCCCCATGAGAAGAGGAAGAGAGACCAGGGATCTCTCCATGGGCGCACCGAGGAATAACCACGTGAGGACACGGCCATAAGGCAGCTGTTTACAAGCCAGAAGGGGAGTTCTCACCCCAAACTGAATTTCCTGGCACCTCGATCATGGATTTCTAGCCACCGGAACTTTGAGAAAATAAATTTGTTAAGCCACCAGTCTGTGGCTATAATATTTTTTTAAATCCTCACCCAAGGATTTTATTTTCATTGTGTTTAGAGAAAGAGGAAGGGAGAGAGAGAAATATCTGTTGGTTGACTTCCTGTATGAACTGCGACTGGGCATATGCCCTGACTGGGAATCAAACCCATGACCTTTTGGTCTACAAGACAACCCTCCAATCAACAGAGCCACATTGGCCAGGACTATAGCATAGTATTTTGATATGGCAGCCCAAACTGACTACTGCAAATCTGTAGCAACCAAAAGAGACAAGAGAGAGAGAAATGGGAAAGAAGGAAGGGAGGAAGGGAGGAAGGAAGGAAGGAAGGAAGGAAGGAAGGAAGGAAGGAAGGAAGGAAAAAGCCAAAGGTTCCATGCTTTTACCTAATGTCTTCAAGCTTCCTGAAAGTTCCAGAATGGAAGCTGAAGGGATTTATGTCACTGGAGCAGACACAGAGCACAGCCCTCGTGCGTCCTTTTTGTGAAACAGAAAATGATGAGGACGGGCAAGTGCTTCTGCCATTGATGCTTTGAGGCCAGGGCCTCAATAGACGTGTGATGACATCCGGTGAGTGAACAAAGGAAAGAGCAAATGCACAAAGGCCATAACGGTGCCTTCCAAGCACAGGGGATGGAGGCGGGCGACCCCAGCCCCCAGCTCCAGAGAACGCAGAACAACAGGTGCACTCACAATCTCCGGGACAGGTGGTGTCCGTGCTGAGGAATAAATGGACTCCTGAAAAGCTGTGTGTGAGCCAAATTTTTGCAAACAGTTTTGTACTTTACATTAATTGACCAGATCGATATGCTAAGATAAATTGACAAAGTCAAGAAACTTCTCTTGGAAGGTGAGGACTGCCTCCCACCCCAAAGTCAGCTTCCTGACACGTAGGAGTAAAGAGCATTTGTATTTATAAATAATTTCAGCGTTAATTAAACAAGAAGAAAGAGTCCAGTGATACAGCAAAAACAATAAAGCTGCAAAGGACCTCCAGGAGCCTGTCATTTACAGGTCCACGATGGGGAAGTGACTTGCCCAGGGTCGCCCACTCCAGTTAGGAAGGGAGGGTGTGGTCTTCTGACTGCCAAGGCGACAGTCTGTCCGCCAGCCCACGAGATTCTCTGAGGCCTGAGGAGACCAAAGGCTCTTCCTCCACTATATTCTCCTTGCCGCCACATAACAACTATTCCAACAATTCGCTTCTGCAAACATGTGTCATTGTTACTGCTATTTTTGTTGTGTTGTTGTCAGCACTGTATTTTCCAAGATGCTTTACTGTTGTTGAAAGCAATCTATTGCCGGAAGAATCATATTCTAAAGCTGGGGTGCAGATAATCCGTCTTTGGTCTTAGGGAGACACCCAGCACTGGTGACTGCGTCCCCGGGCCCTACTGGAATCTCCCTGTGCCACAGCTGGCACCCGGGGACCTCTCGTATGGGCGCCTGTCTCTGTGATCGCTGTCCTTGGAGGTAGACACCCAGTGCTTCACAGGGCGGAGAACTCCTGTTTCAGATTTGACCATGGTCTTCCCACATTTCCTCGCTTCCAGTCCTGCTTTGCACATCCCCCTCCCCCAAACACACACTTAGTCTAACGCACGTCTTCAGAGGGTGCGAGCTGCCTGTTAAAGCTTTTCACCACATCTTTTGGTTAAAAAGGGCATTTTGTTTGTCCCCTAAACCTTACTTCTTCCCCTCTCTCTTCTCCTCTCCCTTTCTCTGCTTAACCTTTGTCTCATTTTTCTTCCTTAAAATATTTCCCTTGGTACCAGAAAAGCAATTTCACAGGCAGGGGTGGGGGTGGGGGGGCAAGAAGGGAGAGAACTTGAGAGAGCCCTGCGTGCACCTGGGACTTGGACGAGAGGAGCGCTCTGCCTGCGTCTAGCAGGGGAAGTGCTCCAGCAGAGCACAGTGCTCTTGGCTCAGGATGCTGAGTCTGTTGCCAAACTTGTCACTCCCTACACGGAGAATCCAACAAATATTTATTTAACATTGAGAGGCACTGGACTCAGATTCAGAGACATGAATTCTGGTCCCGATTCCAAGCCCTGTGATCTTAAGCAAAGCATTTAACCTCGCCCAGTAAAAATATACAGAGTGGATGGTTGGTAAGGGACCTGCAACCCACAGGTCCTGTGCTTCTGAGATCTCTACATTCTCAAAACAGCTACACAATGTTTCCTACTAATGTCAAAGAGCTGCTGCTCCAAAGATGCAGAAGAAAGCCAAAGTCTGAGTGCGCCATTGACTGGGGCACAGACCTGCACTCCTGGCTGCCATTGAGGGCGACAGAGGAGGCATTTAGGTGAAGGTGACAGAATGTCAGGGACAGCTCACGACTCACTCCCAGTGAAGAGGGCCAGGCTCTCAACCCCAAGGAAGCCAAGTTGGGAGAAATTTGTTTGGACAAGTCTCCCAGGGGTAGCTTGAGACAAAGACATTTTTCTTTGGAACCTATGGGTTGGCCTTGTGGACTCTTTATTCTTCTTGGCCACACTTCCTTCCCCTTCTTCAGGCTCCCAGACGTCCAGCTCTCTGCTCACCTCCCCCCCTCCCCCCCTCACATCAGCACCGGCAGCAGTCGGGCAAACTCACTCACACTGAGGTATGAACAAGGGATAGGCTTAATAGACGAAACTGCCCATGATTATTTATGGTGTTATTGAATACCATAAATTTATTGAATAAACAACAAACCATTGTTTATTCTCAGCTGGGAGAGTAAGGAAACAATTTAAGAATTTCAAACCTCAGCAAGTACATTTGGGAGAGGTGTATTTTTTGTTTTGATGCCTTTTGGTATATTTGGTTTTGTTTCCCATTATCTCCACCTTGTCCAAAACAAATCATCCCACAAATATGGCAGCCTTTTGTGTCAACACACAGAGCTGGCCTGCAGAGTGAAAATCAAATAATAAATATTTCATGGATTCTTCCTAGCAGGGGAGGTTATTCGAGTGGTTTTGATTTATTCCTTCTTGCCTCCCACATGCTAGAACCATTCCTGGGATACAGGAGATCCTCAACAAATACTTACTGAATGAATAAACACACATCATCACGTGGGAAGAGTGATGGGAAAATAAGTAAGCTATAGCCCCCATTTCCGGGAGCAGACACAAACACACAGAGCATGATTTAGCAATATAGGAAATGTCACATGGCCACACACCATTATCCTTTTCACTGAAGTCATCAATATAAAACGAGGGGTTGCCCCTGCCAACTGTGTGACAAAAAGAAACTATTTCTCCATGCAATAGTAAAGTTAAAGAACTTTAAGAAGAGTGATACAGATCTAAATACAGAAATGACTCCCATGGACCTAGAAACATTCACAAGTGTGAGGGTGTCACTGGGGTTCTTGCGCAGGCTCGTTACAGACCTGTGACCGGCGCACACAGCACAGGACACGCTCCCGAACGCTTGCGGCCTGCGCAGTGGAGAGCAAGTGCCAGGTTCTCCCCCAAATCCAACCGTTTGTGTAACTGTTACTGTGCACAGTGGAGAAAGCAGGGTGAACCCAGGGGGTCTGTGCTAAACTACCCTTGCTGACCAGTGAGACGGTTTCCCTAGAAGAATGATAAGAATCCATCTTTTCATACTAAATAGAATACTCTAGTAAGTTAAAGCAAAAAAGAAACCCCCAAAGCCAAAAACCAACAACAACCCACTAGTAGATGCATGTACACTAATTGTATGCGAACACACAGAAGTTGGTTATTATTTTCATGATTGGCAAATAGCATTTCAAACTTTGCAGAGACAAAATTTAGTGACATTTGAAAGTGGGTTTGAGGCTGTCTGCACTTGGGAATTTCTGAGTCCCCAGGATGAGGAGAGGCTGTGGTTTCGATGACAGGACAATATCCGTCTGTATGAGCCTCATGGGACGGTGACTTTGAAACCGAGGGTTTATTTCAGAACTTAGGCAAATCTGCCTCCGGGCCCCTGGTTCTCCATCTGAAGACTGCAATAATCAAATGTGGCAAAAACACTAGTAACAAATAAATACAAATTACTAACACAATGACACTGTTCTCTCCCCATCAGGATCTCCGGGTTCTATCTGGTTTCTGGTGCAGCGGAAAGAGCTTTCTGTTCTTAAGTTACATAAAAAGTGAAATGATTTCAAAACCCAGAGAACTGGCAGGTGCAAATGACCACTTTCTCCTAAGTTTTCAGTTTACTTCTTCTTTCCTTTTTTCTTCTCTCTCTCCCTCTCTCTCTTTTCCTTTCTCTCCTTTAATTTTCCCTCTCTTTCTTTGTTAGAAATTTCTCTAGTTTCAGGAGGATAATTGTCACAGAAAACTCACACATGTTCATAGGCATTTGAAATATATTTTTGTCTAATTGTGATGTATAAACATACTGAATATACCCACATACACAAATTTATTAAAGTATATATATATATACATATATATATATATATAGTCCACAAGATAGATTGAACAAAAGTATTTATGCACAGATAAAGTGATTACCAGTAGATACAATATAAAAATGCCAATCTAATAAGTTTCTGTGCCAAAAATTTTTAACAATTCTCTGAGTAACATTTAGTACATTTGGTAACACTTTTTCTGCTTTTATATCTTTCTACCAAACTAATAATGCTTCAGGAAGAATAACACAATAAATGACAAAAGCACAAACATGAAATTCATAGTTATGATTTCTTTAGCAATATCCAGATTTTATAGAATTATCGTCAAAGCCACCTTCTAAAGGTTATCCTAAAGATACCCGTGCATTGCATTTTGTAATTCTAAGCTTTTTTACCACCAGAGTCCCACCTGCCTTGCTTAATTAACTCTGCGAGTGTGAAGTTCTAATTCAGTTTCACTCGGGCTTACCTGAGGAGGTGACTCCGACAACAATGAGCACCAAGATAAAACCTGCCAGCGTCATGATTCAGTCTAAGAAGGAAGATTTCTTGTTAATCACAGAGTATTTCCATCAGAAAAGGGGGTTCGCAAGGAAAATGCAGCAGTTGGGAGTGTGAAGTGGACCCTGCAGGGGAAGGAGACGCCGGAAGTGGGGTAGAACCGTCTAGGGCACCTCTCATCAGCGTGACGCTTCCTAAAGTGCACTCATTGATTTCCAGTCAGCTGTCAGGTCGCGTAAGGCTAAAACGTGTCCCTGGGTCCTAACTCCTGACTTATTAATTTGCTCTCTTGCAAAGAGATGCAGGGCAATGCAGAGAGGAGGAAGCTAGACAACGTCCGGATGTTCTGTGGTATTTTCTCTTATGGCTGGAAGTCCTTGTCAAGGAGAAAAGCGGCATTTTAGGAGGGGACCCAAAAACACAGAATTTATTTATTAAAAAATTGTGTATTCATTCTTACATGTTTAGACTTCAGTCACCTTCAAAGTACTCCCCATTTGATGCAACACACCTGTCGAGACGTTTTCTCCACTGCTCAGAACAGGTTTGGAACTCATCCATTTTGATGCCTTTTAGAGCTTTTGCCATTTTTTTTGTTTTACCTCTTCTACATTGGCACAAATGTTTCCTTCTGAGGACTTTTTTCATCTGGGAGACAACAAAAAAAGTCACTGGGGGTAAGATCAGGTGAATAGGGAGGGTGCGGCACCGGGGTCATGCATTTTCGGTCAGAAACTGCTGAACACTCCATACCTCTGGGCAGATGTGCTGTACATCACCCATCGTGAAATGGGCAAGCATGTTAAAAGAATTCTAAAAATTTTTTAGTTTTATAAAACAAAATATTTTATTAATATTTTAACAAAAAATATACATGATCTTTAAAGTGAAAGATAAAAATTAGCTGAGAAAAAAATTTAAAACACCTGAATCAGTGGAGAGATATACCATATTCATTGATTGAAACACTCCATATTTTTAAGATTGATCTTCATCATTATACCAGCAGACTATTTTATAGAAATTCAAACAAAATTTCTTTCAAAATTCCAAAGACCTAAGATAGTCAAAATAATCTGATAAAAACCCAAGTTGGAGAAATTCAGCAATCACAGCAGCATTGCATTAGAAAAAGGATAGACAAATAGATCAATAAACTAGAATAGAGACTTCAGATAGAACACATGCAACTTCAGTCAGTTTTCTACCAGGTGCCAAGTACCCAACGGACGAAGATGAGGACTGCTGCTGAGGTCACAGCTTTGACTAAGGCCAGACTCACCACATTGGCGCTTGGAGTGGAGAAGCACCAGCTACTCCCGGGCACAACGCAGGCCTTCTAGACAGCAGAGCTCACACTTTCCACCATTCCGGTCTACTGCACCCTGAGGTTACCTTGTGATATTGAAATAGTACTCAAATAAATATCCTAGACTAAAAACAAGTCATCTTGGTTTAGATAGCACTTACTAAGAGAGTCCTAAAAAAATTTAACTGAAGCCAAACGCAGCCTCTCACAACAACACCAGCTGGTGCACTGATACAGATGGGTTCCTAGAACACTCACCTAGAGGGAGAAGCCTCTACGACAAGGGATCTGTCCTCCGGAAGATAATTCTGTTTTTGTTTGTTTTCCCACATAGTCTACATCATGGGAGTTACTGAAAAGTATCTCGTATTTATTGTTCCTCTTACTATCTCTTCATTTTGGACTCACAGTTTAAGACTATGAATACAAGGAGGGTCGAAATGTACAAACTTCCAGCTATTAAAGTAAGTTCAGGGGATGTAACGCCCAACATGGCCACTGTAGTTGGTAATACTGTGTGGCATATTTGAAAGTTGCTAAGAGAGTAAATCCTAAAAGTTCTCATCACAAGAAAAAATGTTTGTAACTATGTGTACTGACAAACGTTAACTAAATTTACTCTGGTGATCATTTCTCAATATATACAAATACCAAATCACTGTGCTGTATGCCCAAAACTGAGGTTAAAAACAAAATCCAGCTGAGTAAATTGTAAAGGTCTTATTGGCTTCATTCAGTGATTCATAAGTCAGGCGGCATCCAGTGGAGCAGCCGGAAAGGAGTTCTGAAACACGGCACGAAATGAAACACTTGTGTCGGCAGGAGGGAGTCCGGAGGAGGATGCTGTACAGGAGGGGCTGGGATGTGTGGCAAGGCCACTTCTTTTTAGGGGACGGCAGGGCTTCATCAGGCAGAGGATGGAGGGAACCAGGGCCGATCTGGTGGTCCCTGAGTGCCTGCTTTCATATTCCACTTCTGGGAGAGCCGAAACTGCGATTAACTTAAATCTCAGTTTGGTGACATGGGGCTTAGCATAAATGACTCCCTTTGGGGCCTGTTGTCTTGTTTTTAACACTAATATAATGTTATGTGCCAATTACATCTCGATTAGAAAAATAATGACTGTGCCCTTTAACGCCCTTGTTTAATGGCTCTCAAGGGCCTCCGTGTCCGAGCGCCCACTGTGGTCCCCTTGGGCCCCAGGGTCCGCCTTACCCTTCTTACGGGAGGGAGTATGGGCTCGTTTTGTTTCCTTCATGGGACCTGGGGACTGATGATGCCACAATTAATTTGACTCGCCCTCTTCCCAGTCGATCGGATTCTCACCCAGTTCAGTGCCATCTATACACAGAGGCCCTGATACACGCAGATCCAGTGAATGGGTAACTGAAAGGGCGCAGCAGAGGGGAGGGCTGGGTGGGAGCAGCCACCCGGATGAAACCTGAGTGTTGGGAGTGTTGGTGCAATGTACTCGGGGGCACTGATGAACTCGACTTTACTGACACTGATTTAATCCAATAAAAAATGTCTGGGTGTCTCATTAAGCCCCCACTGTGTGCCATTAGCAACTTTCAAACAGCAGGTGACACTCAGTAAGGTACAAACAGGTGATGAAAAGAGCCCTGGGCTAGGAGGCAGGATTCCGACCCCTCCTCCCCCCGAACCTCTCTGAGCTCCTCTCTCAGAGAAGCCTTTGAACCACGTGGCTGCTCACCTGCCTGTCTCCCGTACGAGACCATGGGCACCTGAGGACGGGGCTGTGTCCTCTCATCTCTGTATCTCCAGTAGATTTTACAAACAGGTGCTTCAGGATGTGCTTGAATGGGAGGAGGAAGGAAACAAGCAGACGTTGATTTCTTATCCTCCCGATTGTGCTCCAGGGCTGCTGTTCAGAGCCCCCGTGTGTGCTTTTCCCTCACCTGTTCTAGAACCAACGATGCACATCAGCCGGGCAGCTGCCTGGGGTGTGGTGCTGTGTCCATTAAAGCACAAAGAATCAGGCGCCCATTATCCAGAGTGTATTCCGGAACCCCGGGCAAAACTTCAGCTGGCCCACTGCTGACCAAACTCGCCCCCGGTGAAGAGTGAGCCCACTCATTCTGGTGAGTCTGGAGCCCCGCCCAGGCCACTTCCCTAACAGATGTGCTCACCATCGCCATGGACACACAGCTGAAGGTGAGACATGGCATGCGCTTTCAGCTGAAGATTTTAAAAGTCCTGGTTAGCATTTTTTAATTGTGAAAGTAGCACAATCCTAACAGTAACTTTTAAGAAGACTTATAACCCATCCTCCTACCTACCATCAAGATTTTGGTCTATTCCCTTCCAGTGCACATGCATGCCTACACATGTGCATGCATGGTCACACACACAATCACACGGTTATCACACAGGATCACACCTATCCAGTTTACATGCAAGTTTATCCTTCACTGTTACAAATTATAAATATAAACCTTGGTGCCATTTAAACAGAGAATGTTTTGATACCAACCTTGAGAAAAGAAGAAACTTTGAGACATTATTTCATGATCTCTATGGAGATAAAAAGGAGAATTCCAGTTGGTTCCATAGTGCGATCAAGTTAATTCAGAGCTACTTAAGCAATCGCCAACCAGGGTGCTGATTACCAGATGGATGCCCACCCGGAAGGTCTCTAGTGGCGTTTTCGCGTACAGCATGATGGCTGCGACACACAACGTCTCTCAAATACTTTCTTAAAGGCATTCAAGATAAGCTTAACCAACTTTTAATAACACAAAAATAAGAGGATTAACTTGATTCCCAAGGTCCCTTCCAATACCAAACCTTACAACCCTGTTGTCCACTGGGTAGGACAGAATCAATATTCAGAATAAACTAAAAAAGCTGGGATGTTGAGCACATACTCAAAAGGTAGAATAGTTTAAAGTGACCACATTTGTGCAAATTGGGACAAAATATATCTCTCTTATTCTGATTTTATTTCTACAAAAAACCTTACAAAATTTAAAAAATGAAATCATATTGGGTGTCCACTTTATCACATTGGGTATTTGATGTGGACTCTGGCCAGCAGTGTCCGCGACGTTGTGGATGAGATGAAGCAAATCCACACAGACTGCAGAAGTTCTGTGCAGAGAAAAAGGGGCAGCATGACCACTCTCTGAGAGAAGGGGTGTGCCCTGACCCTTGCCTGGACAGGCTTTTATTGTTTTTTAATAGCATACATCAAAGAAGGTTTTCACTCATTATGCTCAGGTTTGCTTTAGGTAATTACTTTTTACAGATAACAAAGGAAAGGATGTTACTGGTTACTTCTTACAGATTAACAAGGAAAAAAATGTTGCAAATGCAAGGGAATGGTTAAGAGTGATTGGTATGGTTGCACTTTAGTCCTTGGGAGAATCAGCAGGTTTCAGGAAGTTACTTTAAAGCTATGCAGTAAACATTTTCTGCTTCAACTCAGGTTGAGGGAGTTTTAGCAACAGCAAGTCTCAGAGCAGCCTAGGGATAATGTAAGCCTGGCTTTCCACAGAAGAACCAATCTGGGATTTGGCATCCTGTGTGCCCACACATGCCTGTGGGCTTTCCAGTAGGGCTGGGCTGCAGTAGTTACCATTGTAGATCGGTTCCCTATAGTTATTGCCTTTATCAGAAAAACAAAAACACACAAAAAACTGACAAACACACAAAAACAACAACAACAAAAATCCCCCACAGTTGCTCAGTCCCTGAGTATCGCAGCCACCACAGGAAGGCATGGGGAGCACTGGCTCCGCCCAGCCGAGCCCTCTGGAGCACTCTGTCGCGGGCAGCGTGTCCTGAGAAAGTTAAAGATGTTTATCTGGAGGGAGTCCAGAAACCCAGCGTCTGGAA